ACAGAGCTAGCAGCTGAAGGGGAAAGGAACATCATGCAACCAGTCCCGCACATCAATGTGCTTTGCAGTAGCTTTGGGACAGCTTTAACCTTTATGCCAGCTTGCAGTGGTAACAACCCAGCGAGTTATAAAATGGCATAATGCACCTATTCACATTTTTTTCCAAGCCAGAGCCTTGCATTCCCTGCAGGGAAGTGACGTGAACCCTCAGACACCCCAGGGCTGGGGCTGGGCACACGCAGAAGAGTGGTGAGTGGCAACCTGCCAGGGAAAAAAGGCCTTTCCCAGRGGAGAGAAGGACGTGCAGAGCCATGGGCTGGTAGGAAGGGAAGATAGAAAATTTTGAGCCACAGACAAGCAGAACAGTTGTTTCACTGTTGAGGGCAAGGAGAAGCAGCTGTACAAAGCACGGTTTTGCAGGGAAAATAGAGTTTTCATCACATTTTTAGAAGCTGGTTGCATTTTCTACTGAACTGCACCAAACTGTGGCCTTAATTCCTTACAACAAAAAGCAAGTAAGTGTGACAAAGCCAGGAAAGGTTGTGCTATTTTGCATACTTGTTGGGAATAAAGCTGAGCTGGCACATTAACTTACAGCTTTTGACACTATTGACTGAAAAAAGTGTCTGGGTCAGGAAGACAAGATCTTACTGTGATATTTTAGGAGCCCTAAGAGCCATATGTAGAACCAGATGAGTAAGAGGAGAGAATTGTTGGAAAGACAACACTTTTACTAAAACAAACTTATCTTTAGTAAGTGGGTATGACAACACTCTCATGTTTGTTGTTGCTATTAATCACGGGACATTTTGAATCACCAACATACATAATATTATTATGCAGTCGTTCTAGAAACATGCACTCCACCAAAAATCAGAACTCATTGGTATCACTGATACCACATCAGTTTATAAAAGTGAATTCAAGTAATTAGTATTAGGCTCATTAGCAATATTAAGCTATTATAGCTTCTCTATAAGTAAATGACTCATATTCTTGTGCTTCATCTATAAAGGCTTCAAACCTCTGCCTTTTATCAATTTGATATTTGTCTAGTGAGGAAGAAATAAACAATCTGTCCAGTCACTCCTCCTAATATAAAAAGGTCTTTTAGTAATTTCTAATTCAATCCTCTGGCGTTCAGAGAAAAAGATTCGATAAGATCAAAACCCAGCAATTTCCTCTCTTCCATTTCCTACCATGGTTAGAACATAAAAGAGTTTGAAATTCTGAGGTAGTGAGGAGGAGGAAGAGAAATAGGTTTTGAAACAAAGAGAAAAAAAAATCTGGGGTCTCATTCTGTACTACAATGCTTCTGCATTGAGTTTTGAGTATTGAAAATTCCAGATATTCAAAAAAAAAAAAAAAAAAAGGAAAAAGATAACAAAACCAAATTATTTAGCAGTCAGAACATCCTCAAAAAACAGTTGCTTACAAATTTTCCTCTGCCTCTCGATTCTTCTCCTTCACAGGAGTGCTGAATTCAATTGTGTTCATCTCAGCTTTACAATTCAGTTTAGTTACAGATGTCGTGAGGTCCCACTTTGCCATTTGAAAGGGGAGCTGTGAGCTCCCTTCTGCACCCTCCCCAAGCAGATGTCCAACTTTCTGTCCTCTGCATGCTTTCCTCCTGTTCACATGCTCCATTTTTCTCTCTACTTTCCTGTCTTTCCCATCAACCTAATGCCCCCACATTGCCCTGCACTACAGCTTTCTCTGCCCCCAATTTCTTTGCATCTCTCAAAACCTGACTTCTACCCACATAGTCCTCATCTCTCTATTTGACCACATGCTATTTCCTAGTCTCTTCTGACCTCCCCTATCTATGTCTCCTATGTATTAATACAGACAACTTTCTCCTGACTCATTCTCTTTTTTATGTCTCTGCCTGTCCTACACAAGAAACTAAAAGTGAAGGTTTTAATTCTCATTTTTCCATTTCAGGGTGGCCACCTTGTTTCACCTCAGCTGTAAACTCTTGTCAGTCTCAGTGTGATATGTTCCATTCACTCTTATTTATAAAGAGAAAAGATGTATTCATTGCTTTGCTGATGGTGGCACTGACTGATTGTTATTCCTGGGGAAGTAGAGACCACTTTAGAAAATAGAGGAGAAATATGAAAGAAGTCATTAGAAATCCTCAAAGATCTTCATGAATATTGCCATATCTGCTTGAAATAACAAGATATGAAAATACTGCGCCAATGAAAACAGATATAGAACATTAAAAAAAACTGCAATCTCTGCTGATACCTACGGTTTACCCCATTTCACTTATATAGAAGTAACTATATAACTGAAAAATGTAGTGAAAATTACTAACATGTACTTCATTCCCGAACTCTTGTCCCTTCTCTAAAACCCAAACACGCATGCCACAGGAGGACAAGGTCTGAAAGAAAGGGCACTGAACAATTAAACTTACAGTTTTTGTAAGTTCTACTAAAAGGCAAAAGAAACCATGCTCCTAAATCCTTATGAAACAACCCTTTCACTGATTAATGTCTATTCACTACATAATACATATGACAATTTCTTTAAGACTTTTTTTAACCAAACTCAAATCACACTTTTCTTTTCCCTAATATATGATACTTTGCTATTCCAAAATATAGGTGATTTTATTTTTCAGTATCTTGACTGTAGATTTGATGGAGTATACACTGGTCAGCATTTCTGCCTCTTCAAAGCAGGTTTCCCTAATGCATACTTCATATATTCCATCAAAATGAGGAGAGGAAAACAGGGAAGGCCTATCAAAAAGAATCATAACAGAAATTATTATGGAATTCATTCTTGTAAATGTAGTAAATTTGTGGGATGATCATATTCTTCAATTAGCAGCATGAAAATAATTGTTGGGATGAAAATCTGCATGGCACATTGTGCTGGACTGAAAATGCTCCTGCATCCAAAGTTCAGGAGTGATTTGTGAATAAAGGTTAAGTGAGGCTCTTCCCAAGGAACTAACCACAATGTTTCTGTGGCTGCTGCCTTGTACTTGCTCCTTCCATCCACAGGAGAGAAGTCTGTGTGCCAGATGAGGAAAGGGACTGATGGCCGTCAAGCCCTGACCTCTGGAAAGCTGTCTGGAGGTACCACCTTGTGGATGTGCTTCCCTCCAAGTCAACTGCGTGCACTTTGGCTGGTACTGATGATGCTCTTTAGCCACATCCTTGGCTAATCCTGTCAGGAATTTTTCCTTATACTCTGATACATGGTTCTCTAGAGAGAAATTTTTTAGGGTTTTTTTTTGTTTGTTTTTGCTTTGATAAACTGAATCTTTTCAATCAGCAGTTATCAGATGTGTAATTTGTTTCTTCTCTTTTCAGCTGTGATATTTTGGGCACTTTCCAGATGCATTTGTCCTCATTTTTACATCCTGTGTCCTTATGGTTTGCATGAGCAAAGCTCCTTTGGTACACAGTGTCATAAATTCTCGTGGTGTCAGGATGTTGCAAATGGCTTATTTTTTATATACATTTGGTTAAGAAGGGTAGTGGATAAACAGGATGAGCTGAGCAGTCGTTTGGACTATAACAACAGGCTGACAGTTATGTAAAATACTTTCATGTGGCAATATCCTCTGATCCTCTACTGGTTCACAAGAGTATTATAGCCAGATTCAGAACACAGGCACTTGCAAACTCATTTTCATAAACTAGGACACTGCTAAGCACAGAGGGAACCAACAACAAGATTGCTCTGTTTCTTCAGAGCATTTACCTTCTCTTTCTCCTAAGTCTCATCTCTTCAGCATCTACAGTTTAAGTCTGTGGGATAAGCATAAGACTCCTTTATCAAAATGCTTTTACAAATGCTGGTACAAATCACCTTGCAAAGGCTACTGTGGAGTGACAAGGCCTGTTGGCCAGATCACCAGGAGTTTTTTTTTCAGTATTTTATTCTAAAATGGGATTAGTTGAGTAACTCTACAGCCCAATTCAAACACTAACTGAGACCAATTCACTTTTATAAGCGCTCCACTTTAATGTACCAGCTAAATGCCACTGATTAGGCTTTCAATTTAACATTTTCTAAAAGGCTTTAGACTCAATTCTGAGATGATTCATGCTATTCAACAAAAAATTAACCAAAAAAAAAAAAAATCAGCTAACTGTAACTGTCATGGGCTGTACACACAAATGTTCAATCAGCTTCTGGAAACCAGCCTTGCTGCTACACCTTGGTGTTCCTGCACCAAGATACAGACACCTATTCTGTTTCACAAAGACAATTTACAATCACAGGAACATGATTTTCATATTGGTCAATTGCTGTATGAAAAAGGAAATCCAAATATGAATGTTCAAATACTTTCATCTAAATGAAAATCTATTTTTCATTAGGGTTAATTTAATTAGTACTAAAATTCATGTCTAGTCAAAGAGGGAATCCAGGTTCTTATACTTTCATATACCAGAAGGTTAATCAATGCTGCATGCTAAAATTCAGCAAAAATGCACTAATAATAGTCTGAAATATTCACGAAGAATATCAAAATATTCCATATAAATAATGGCCTTTTATCCACTTTCTATTTTTGCAATTCTTACAGAGATTTTTACCRTTTAGAATTGCTTTATATTCATGACTAAAAATTGTTCTTCAATTTTAAGGAAGATGAATTCTGTTTATTTTACCTTTAAATAGCTGCAAAATTACCGTGCAAATTATTATATGTTTATCTAAATGCAGTCTGTTAAATAGTAGCAATCTTAACTCAAATCTACACCAAAATTCAGGACAATTTAATTGAAGGCAATATTTCAGGAAGGTTATCTGTATGTTCAATAGCTTCAATAGCTATCCTTTCAGTAGCAAGCMGACTCAAAATGTATTATTCAGACATACTTAATGCACTCTTCCCCACCTTTGGAATTACCCGGGCAACAGACGTTCAGCAGACTTATTCTGATGTCTCTATATGTCTGATGTTTGAGCATGTTTTATTCTAGTGCAGTCACTTCAATGTTATCACTCATTTTCTTCCTACTTACCTCCAAAGTAGGAGCCATCAGTCAGCTTCAACTCCTTGTTGGATTTGGTGATGACTCCAGCGACACCATGCTGAATGAAATACATCTTCTTACCCACAGCCCCTTCTCGAATAATGTAATCGCCAGGCTGGAACACCTCAAATCGCAGCTTGCTTAGCATGGCAGTCACAAAATTTGGGTCTGCATTAGCAAAAAGAGGCATCGTAGCAACCAACTTGCGACAGTTGAAGTTGACAATCTCCTAATTGGGAAGGAAACAAAATAGTAAGAATAGTCAGCAAACAAATACATTTTATGGTGGTCAATGATGGCTTTTTTTTCWTAAAGTTATTTTTATGCACTTATTGGATTTTTATGTTTTCATATTTTTGCATAATATTCAGTCTTATTAAATTTTCATCTGTATCTAGTGAAGTGATTGAAACAATAGTGCAGTAATGATATATTTTAATAAGGTCAAATGTCTTTTTTAGGTGATTGTCACAGATTATTTATTATTCTCCTTGCCTTTCAAGAAAAAAAATAAGGGACAGAAAAAGGGACAAAAAAGAAAGGGACAAAAATGTAATAGGAATTACACTGGCTGCCACATGGAAAAGAACATGTATAACTTCGGGCTGCAGTAAATCTATTAAGTGATAAAAGTTATCCCAGTAGAAAATTTATGCGTCTTTAAATATTACACCAGTAACATCTTTCTGATGTTGCTGCAAATATCCTTGAAAGTGCAGTGATAACAYAAATGTACATTATATTTGGCTGTGGAACCCTGACATCAACAGAAAAATTCCCATCCCAGAGTTTAATTCATATCACTAAACACAGAGGCACATTCTCTTGTCCTTCAAAGAAATTCATGTGCAGTGGACCCTTTAAGCCAGGAAGCCCTGCCATCTTCCTGTGACTGCTATAATTCCTACAAAGCACCTTCCTAAGTGCTACACGTATGGGTTGTTTCCCACCAAAACCATTTGCATTTACAGAGCTTACGCTGCGCATGTTTTTACTAGAACAGCACCAAAAAKTTACAAATGTTTTTCGAACTTCAAAAAACAAAACAAAACAAAGCAAAACAAAATACACAGATTTGGAATATCTCCAAGGAAGGAAACTCAGGAGACTTCACAACTTCTCCAGACAACCTGTTCCAGTGCTCAGTCATAGTGAGGAAGTCTTCTTGAACTTCATGGGCAGAACAACTGCCCACCTCTCTAGTCTGMTGAGGTTCCTCTGAATGACAGCACAGACCTCCAGTGTACCAGATAYTCCTTCCAGTTTTTATCATCAGCAAAACTGCTGAGAGTGCATGCTTCCCTTCATTCAGGTCATTGATGGATAAGCTGAAGAAGACTGGAGCCAGTACTGACTGATTACACCACTAGCCACAGGCATCCGAGTAGACTTTGCACCACAAATCACACCTCTCYGAGCTCTGCCATGTAGCTAGTTTCCAGTCCACCTTGCTGTTCACTCCTCTAGCCCATGCTTCCTGAGCTGCCTATGCTTCCCTATGCTATGGAAGACAGTGTCAAAAGTCTTACTGAATTCAAGGTAGAAAACTTTGAGTTCTCTCCCCTCATCTGCCTAGCCAGTCATTTCCTCACAGAAGGCTATCAGGTTGGTTAAGCACGATTTTCCCTTGGTGAAGCCGTGCTGATACTGCTGATCTCCTTCTGATCCTTCACATGCTTAGAGGTGGCATCCAGAATGAGCTGTTTCATCACCTTTCCGGGAAGCTTTAGTTGCCTGGGTCCTTTTTGAAGGCTGGAGTAACAGTAGCTTTCCTCTAGTCTTCAGGCACCCATTCTCTACATCCTTTCACAGATGACTGAGAGTGGCCTAGCAATGACATCCACAGGTTTTCCTTAGCACTTGTGGGTGCATCCTATCAGGGACCATGGACTTGTAGGTGTTAGGTTTGCCTAAATGATCTCTAACTCAATTGTCCTCCTAAATTCAGATAATTCCACAGATTTTTAAGCATCAGAATCAAAGTTTGACAGGTACTTCAGTCTGCCATCAGGGATGAAGGTGAGACTACTGCATTTAAGAGGCATGGGCATGATATAAGAGTGAAACAATAACTACCTTTCCCAGATAAATTACATTCTTTCAAAATAAATCCAGTGGAAACAGCAAAAAAAAAAAAAGTGAATCAAAATGTATCACTAGACACTCGGGAAACAGCAAGTAGTTATCTCCAGCAAAAATTATTTTCCATTGGTGACAAAAAAAGAGTAAAATGACTTCCTTTTGCTACTCGTAGGAGAGACTTACGATATCTTCTGACAATCCCTCAAGGAAGTGTCATTATATAATGACAAGGTGGAAATAGAAGTGTCTCTAGGCAGAAGTGAACACTGAGTTTTGACATAGAGCTATGGAGCAATTCCCTTTGACCTTGGTCTCAACAGCATCAAAACTCTCTACTGAGATACACATTACATATTCTTTTCTTTTTCTTCCTTCTAAGGTCATAAATAAATTACATAATTTTATACAATTATTGTTTAAGGCAGCATTAATTCCAGARTTATTGGGTTAAAGATAGAGTGAATGAAGTGTAAGATGTTACATCTTGAAGTCAATCACTAAACTTCAACTGAATTCAGTGGGAATATGATTCCACCAGGAATATTTTAACTAAGAATTATTTATGAGCAATGGAAATAGAACAACATTCCCCTTTCATCATTGTACTGACTCTCTCTCACCTTCTCAGATTTCCATAGGTCCTCTTCTTATGAGTATTTTATTATGTCTGGAACACTGTATCATGTACGAACTCCACAGCTAATTGTAAAGGTATTGGATTAAGACAGGATGAGAAGGAACTGAGATGAATATACTTCCTCAGGGCTGCGAGAAAGTTGAAGTATTGAGGAATACATAGGAAGAATAGAAGCCAGAAAGGATGGGAAGCAAAGAGCCCTGAATTTTATAATGATTTGGAGTCTTCCATTCCTGCTCATTAAGAGTAAGGAACAGTCTGGCTGTGACTCCCCCTGAGCATAGAAAATGACAGGTGCTCCTAATGCTACCATATACTATGGTACTACCATTTTATGCATTTGACATCAGAAAATCAGCTTAAAAAAAAAAAAAAAAAAAGGCCTAGTCTTTTTTTTTTTTTCTTTAAAGTAAGTAGGAATATAAAACCAATGTTTGTCAGACTATGAAAACAATCTTTGACAATAGCTCTGTACAGTGTGAACTAAGTGATATGTGCCACTGGCATTTTTAATCAGTGAATTCTGCTAAGTCAAGTGGAGTAGTCCCAAGTTATTGCTTTAAATAAATGCCATATGATAGGATAAATACTAAAGAGATCCAACCTGACTTGCTTGTTTTTCTAAAGGGCTGAAGAAAAGCCGGTTCTCTTTCTCATCTAAATAGGTAGCAAGGAACTTCTCCCAGCAAATGCTTCAGCCTCTGGTTCTTTGTCAAGGAAAGCTTCTTCTCTGCTCCCTCTGCTCACAGTATTGTGGTATTGCAGAGGAGCCCCAAGCTACATTCTCATTTCTATATGAGATTGTCTATCTTAGTATTGGCAGAAAGATGCCGATATCTATTATTTTTATTGCCTTGCTCAGGGTCTTTTGAGTAGACTTGCTGCTTGGTTTCTGTTCCTGAAAGTGAAAAAGCTCCCTCTTGCACCTAGGAGGCAGAGAAAGGAAATCTCTAACGAAAAGAAAAAAAGAGCTGAAATTGGAGAAATGATGTTGAATAAGCACTGAAAAGGCAASGAGAGTAAAAGGCTCAACTAGCCATGATCAAGAAGAAAGAAAAACAAAACTGGGTGGAGTATCACTGAGATGGAGAGAAGGAGAGGAAAACAAAAAGAGCAAATGCAATGGATCTAGAAGAATCCACAAGAGGGAGGAAGGTTGACTTCAAAGAGGAGACTGAGAAACTGAAGTTCCTGAAAGAGTAAAAGCAGAGGAGCTGGGCAACAAGTGTTCAGAATAAAAATGAAAGGTGGAGCAGATGAAGAAAGTAAAAARGAAATAGGAAAAAATAAGAGAAGTTATTAGTAACATATTTTAATAACTTCATAGCAGAGCACAGAGGTGAGAATGCAGGCTTCCACACTGACCCACCCGAAARCAGAAGGAGAAGAACTGGTCTTTTCTGAGGAAACACAGCAAAATGCTCACCATGCTCTTTTGCTATAAAATCTATATCAAGATACATCCATGTATGCACATACATAATCTGCTCAGTCCGAGTTGTCTAAGGAAACTATGAGCATAGCTGCATATCCACCCTGCTGTGGTAATTAGGTTTTTGTGCAAGTTTACACTAAAGTACAAACTTTCCTTATTTAAGATGTTAGAAGGTGGAAAATTACTGAGAGAGAGGAAATGTGTCATTTTTAAGTGCTTTGTTTTTCTATAGTATTCTTTTATTTAAATATAAGACCATTCAGGGCAAGGAAAAACATTTCTGTGAGTCTTAATCACAGGCAGTGCTGCAATTTCAAGTTCTTGTGTATTACTTTAAATAGCATCTAAGGGAAAAAGAAACAGTAAAGATTATTAAGAATGTTTTATGTGATTCAGAAAGCACTGGGAGAAGCAGTTTGGTGTTTTAAAACAMAAGTACCAGAAGAAGAAGCTATCAAAATGTAAGTTGACTTTTTCTGTGCAAAGAAAAATCTTTTACTCATATTTTCTTTAAAACTTTGGAGCCAGATTGCAACCAGCTTATGCTCTACAAACTGATGTCTTAATTAGAACAAATAATAAAGCTTTTTTTMTTCCCTTCTACAGCAAGAAAATACCAAGTGAAGCCTTAGGAAAGGATTAGGAACACATTATATTGCTAAAGTGGTTAAAGGGAAAGAATGATTCAGACCTAAATAGAGCAAGTGTTGATCTAGTTCAAATATTGATCTCCGTTACATAAGAACTAAATTGGAGGTGCTACAGTCTGCTTTACGTTTAGTACTCATCTTGGGCTTCCTGGCCATTTTCTCCAGGTGATATTAAATCATCAAAAATTACCATTTTGCATGATTCGGTCTGCCTGCCATTTTTGGATGACTGCACCAGCGTGTCTCAAGATGTCACATTTACAGGGGCAGCCACGAGGCTGCTTTGGCTGTAACCRGGATGTGACCAGCACTGAGCCTGGTGCAACACAGTGTGGTAGAGCTGGAGGGAAGGCAGCTGTGGCCAGGAGCCAGGCATGGTGCTCCAGCTGAGGGCAGTGCTCACAGCAGTCTGCCCCACTCATAGC